GGAGCTGAAGTCCTCCAGGCTTAAAGCTACCAAGGTTGGAGACCCCTATTCTACTTCCTCCTGAAGCCCATGGTTTATCGATTCATTCTGTGCCATCGAGTCATTTCCGACTCTTAGCAAACCACGTGTGGACCAATTTTCTCCACGATGTTTTCTGTCCCCACCTCAGTTCCAATGGTGTCCCCAGAGCCCCTGTAGCTGAGTGCATCCCCCTTTCCCAACGCCGGGGCCGCCTTTAGAGAGCTTTGAAATAATGCCGGATAACTAGAGCCTGGTCTCATTTTATGCCTTGCGTACCTGGACGACTCTCGATGCCTTTTTTCTGAAGTTGCTTTTCGTGTCGCCCTTTCAGCCACGCAATCTGTAGATCATTCACTTGATGGCCTGCCCAAAAAACTGGAAGAAGGTGCTTTAAAAACTTACCAGCATCCCTGAGAATAAATCAAAACACGTACAACCTTTTTAATTCGTGGTTTACTGCTTTCCACCTGAGGGTGGTGGGTGGGAACAGGCCCTGCCCTGCACCTTCGAATTTTGGCTTTTTTTCTTTTCTTTTCCAGAATAGGGACAGGTGTGTGGTTATTTTCCTTACTGTTGCTTTGTGGAAAGCAGGAGCAACCCCCTATTAAAGAGGTTTCGTGTGTGGGGGAAAATTTGCATGCCGTTCTTGGGATGGGTGTTTTTTTCCACACTTCTTCCCAAATTCCTTTTTGGTCCTCCTTTGCCCCGTTTCTCATTTCCCTCCTGTCTCCTGATATTTTGTTACCGATACCCAAATGTGAGGATGCTGGGTCTCCCCCCCCCCCCCCCACCCCACAGCCCGGCCCTGATTTCATCGTTTAAAAAAAGGAAGATATCAGCATGGGAGCTGGGTTTGATACGGATTGTATGAATGCATTTGGGACGTTCTCTGTAAACTCTTGGCTGGCTAATTGTGATCAAAACGGAAAGGTTTCAGCAGTTTTGGTGGAAATTCATGGAGGCAAATGGTCAAAGATATCCTGTCTTTCAGGAACAACAGCAGCTTCCATTTTTAAAAAAATCAACTTAAATTTAATTTTTTTTAAAAAAAAATCATTGGGTTCCTCAAATATTTAGATAGTTTCTCTGATTTCGGGAGGCTGTATCACTATCAAGAAGGATAACCCAAGACAGGCAGTTGAGTTTCTCCTTTAAGCCCTGCCTGGAGAAGGGCAGGCCCCTTATCTCCCCCCCCCCCCCCCCCCCCCCCCCCCCCCCCCCCGCCCCAAGAATGTCAGGCAATCCAAGAGCATGGTGTTCACCTGTCATTCAGGGTACCCCCAAAAGACAGGCCCTCCAGACAGGGTAGTACACACATTACATGCGTGGATATGCTTGCCATAATCTTCCAAGCGCTTTGTTTGTTGCAGAGCCTTTGAACACCCACAAGTGCAACAACATTCACTCTGTAATAATCGTAATAATAATATTAATATTAATAATAACAACAACAATACTACCACCACCAACAACAACAATAATAATAATAACAATAATAACACCCTGATTCTACAAAATAACACCCTACTTGGAACAGCTTATATCCTCCGACTCTACCTTAACAGCTCCTAGGTCCTTGGTTAGGACTTGAACTGTTGAGCTATCAACCAGCCCCAAAGGCTGTGAATCTCACCAAAGATATAATAATAATAATAATAATAATAATAATAATAATAATAATAATAATAATAGTAATGTCTACTGGGATTGGCCTAGAGCAATTTGGCACCTTTAAGACTTGTGGACTTCAACTCCCAGAATGCTCCAGCCAGCATAGCATAGATAATTCTTGGAGTTGAAGTCCGCAAGTCTTAAAGGTGCCAAGTTTGGGGACCCCTGGCCTAGTGTGCGTTATTTCTGTCCCTCTTAACATGATCGATCCATTCTGTCCATCTTCTCTAGCGATCCCAAAGATGTTTCCCCCAAAAGGCAACTGGACTCCCTCGGTTTTGTTCTTTGAAAACGTTTCGCTTCTCATCCAAGAAGCTTCTTCAGTTCCTCAGGACAAAACGGAAGAAGCTTCTCGGATGGGAAGCGAAATATTTCCAAAGGAAGCCCAAGTTTGCCTTTTGGAACCACCAGGACCTGGGTGGTTGAGAATCTCTCTAGCAATTGTCCTCCGTGGTCAATTCCCGTCAGACACGGGCCTTTCCCGATCCTCCCTGAACGAAATTCCCATCTGGGATCCCCGGAGGATCTGCTGTTGTTGTTTTTTGGCTGGCAAGGATAACTGGCCCTTTGCTTCTCCTTTTCTTTCTTTTTTTTAAAGTCCCCTGTAAGAAGTTCTTTCGGTTCAGCTGGGCTGACAAGCCTGACTTTGATTAAGATGCTTAAGACTGTGGTGTCTCAACCCACGGAGCAATCCTTTTGATGTGATCATCCCCGTGGGGGAAGCAGGGGGGATTTTGGAAAAGTCAAAATGGTTTCTGTCACCGGGGGGGATCAAAGCCATGAACTTCGATGGTGCCAGTTGCAGCCTCTGCATTGACCTTTTTTTGATGCCCCCTCACTCTAGTTCAGGGGTCCCCAAACTTGGCCACTTTAAGACTTGTGGACTTCAACTCTCAGAATTCTCCAGCCAGCTATGCTGGAGGAAAATACTGCCAACATCCTTCTTGGATATGATACAGGAATTAAACTTGTCAGATCAGTGGAGGAGATTAAACCCTGAAAACTGAATATACTTTTTATTTGGATCCATATAAGTCACGGTCCTGATTAGACATGGTCTGGATGAATGTAGGAATAGGAAACGAGCTAGAAACAGTAGAAATTATGACCAATGTATAAGCAGACCATAACCCCCTAAAGATAATTTGGAAAGGAAGGGGAAAAAACGAGGAGAAGATGGACATTGAACTCCCAAATTGTAAAAGAAAAAGAATAGGTGTTAAAAATTAAAAAAAGTAATGGAACTATTCTTTAAGGAAAACCCAAATCAACCAACATCACTGCAGGTACTATGGGATACAGCTGAAGCATATTTAAGGGGAATAACGATAGCTTATATGGGAAAAAGAAATAAGAAAAAACAACAGCAACAAACTAGGTTACAGGAGGAGATTAAAAAGTTAGAAATTACCGCAAGATGAGGAAGTAAAGGGGACAATGGTCTTAGCCAAACCTAAATTAAATGGGATAGATCAGGAAGAAAGGCCAAAGGACCTGAAAATGGCAAAACGATTTCTTTGAATAGGCCAACCAACCAGGGAGATGGTTAGCCTGTAAATTAAAATTTGAAGTCCACACCTCGTAAAGTGGCCAAGTTTGGAGACCTCCGCTCTAGTTCGTCACTTCCTAACCGGAGCAAGCCGGGCATTCACGGAGCCTCCTCCTGCACACCTTCTTCTTTGGATGGGTTGAGGAGGGGGCTGCCTTTCCATCTCTCATCCCCGTTGAAGGGGGGCTTCCTGACTCAGAGGGCCGAGGAAAGGAAGCTTCCCGTTGGGCGAGGAGAGCCCTGCAGCCACGGGTGTCCATGCAGGGCGCGCTCTGGGGCTGAACAACCGCCAGCGTCTTGACGACGCGCTCTCTACGGTGTTGTAGGCAAGGACAAGAAGGGCACCTGCAGCCTCTCCCGCATGGACAGCACCACCTGCCTCTTTCCCGTGGAAGAGAAAGCCGTGGAGTACTACTTCGCCTCGGATGCCAGGTGGGCGGCAGGTGTGGAGGGCGCCGGAGAGGTTTCCCAAAGGAGGGACCGGTGCCCTTGAGCGTCGCACGCTGGGTTGGACCCTCACTTCCCGGAGGGGAGGCTACGGCGCCAGCCGTTAAAAGAGATCTTGTAGCCTTTCCAAAGACATCTAGCTGGGGGTGGGGCCGCTGGGGGTTCGCAGGGGTTCGGGATAGCCCCCCTAGCTGAGATTCTGCGCAGTTCGGAGAAACCCCCAAATCCCACTCCTGGCTGGCCCCGCCCACCCCTTCCTTCCCCTCCCCGGAGTCCCCACCTGGCCCATTTGGGATGCAGGTAAATGCAGGGCAAAAAATGGGCCTCCCAGAAGTTTGGGAAGGCTGGAAATGGGCCCGTTTCTGGCATCCATAGAGCCTCCGGAGCCTGGGGAGGCTGGAGGAAATCCTCGGGAGTCCGGGGAGGACAAAATGCCCCCCCTGGCATGGTGCAGGAGCCGATTAGGCCACACCCACCATGGCCACGCCCACCCAGCAACCAGAGAACCTGTTGCTGAATTTTTTGAAACCCACCCCTGCATCGAGCCATTGACCTGTGACCACAATTGAACCCAAAATCTTTGTTCCCGATCAAGATGGTTGTTAAGTGAATTTTGCCCCCCTTTAAGACCTCTCTCGCCACAGATCACTGCAATTAAGTTGGTAAGGCCGTTCTTAAGTGAATCTGGCTTCCCCATGGACTTTG